TTGAAACCAAGCACACCATTGTTTTTCTTGTGACATTACCAATAACTTTGATGTGTCACATGGCCCTCTTCCTATTGAAAAAACAAAAGTTGTATCCAAGATGGCCGACTTCTAAATGGCCACCATGGTCACCACCCATCTTGAGGAGTTTGCCCCCTCACATATACTAATGAGCCACAAACAGGACTTTAACATCACCAACCATTCCCATGTTATTATGGTGTATCCATATAAATGGCCCACCCTGTATTTTGAAAGCTAGGGTTTGTTTTTTTACTTGTTATCTTGTTAGGTGCTATAATCTGTTGTAACCTCTGCTGCCCTCTTGCTCACGTTTCTCTTCAAAAAATAGTTTTAAATCTCAATGTGTCATATAAGCGAATAAATAAATGAAGAATATATACAAACAAAATTCACTCAAATTCATGATTATTTTATGGCATATCATAAGACATAAATCACACTAATGGTAGTTATCAGACATAAGAGAGTCAAAAAATGTAAAGTATTTACCTGAACTTTCATAAAGAGATTTATAACGATAGATTTGTATGTGTTACTTATCATATATTTAACATACTTTCCAGATTCTGTCCAGTCTGCATTCAGCTTTCTTTTCATGATACCTGTTTGAAACATGGGGTCCTTTAGCTAAAGGTATCCCATTTAATAATCATTTTATAATCAATATATGGTATTAAACAATGGGACACTGTCTGTACTGACAAATTGTTTGAAATCCCTACACTTTTCATAAATGGAAGGAAAAGCATGATTCAAATTTACTATAATAGAGGCTTATACAATCGTGCCACAATCAATAGAGGAGCTATCATTAACAGGTGGGATTGATAGGATTTGACCAATGTCACCATGCACATCTGCAATAGAATGTTGAAAAGATTTATGGTATGTATTATGCATGTGTTTTATGTCAGGAATGTCAGTGTCATGACCATTTCAACATATTTAAACCAAAGTCTGTCTTTAAACAAAAGTCATGAGTGCAGACTTTGCATGTATTTTGGGAAATGTGTTTTGACTTGATGAAAAGACAAATGTAATTCTGCATGGTGGTTGTATACACTGGAACTTTACCTTGAAAGTTAGGTCTTATTCTTGGGTCATAACTGACCATCAGACGATTCAAAATGTTGGAGGTAGAGTTAGCTGGAACCTGTGCCAAATCTTCTGGAGACAACTGCCTGTTAAAGAGGATGATATTGGACAATAATTAATATGATTTGAGCAGATGATAGATAAAAGTAATGTAAATAAAATAAATCTAAATTAAATCTAAAATACTAAAAGTGTTAGAAATGATGGTTTCTTGATGGATACATATGACTTCATACTTCTGGGGGTGCCACAAGCAGGCAGCGGCTGATAGTGCTCCGGCTAATTCAGTGTCCTTGTAATCTGTAAGCTGAGGACCACCAGGTTCAGTATTTTAAAGTTACATATAACACGTTCACTCATCGATTCAGACAAGTACTTTTTCTGTGCTTAACCCTTTAAGACCTACCATAGAACCAAGTCCGCCATAGCTTATATTATATTTTTACATGGTGTGGTGCCATTTTTGGGAGCATTTCAAGTTGCTATACATCAATACAACAATTATAGCCCAGATTTTAATAATATGTATTCATTAAGTGCATAGTAATTACATAAATTGCAAAAAAGTGCAATAAACTACAAAAAAATTGAAAATCATTTTTGCTTTTTTAACATATATTTGTAGTTAGAGAAATTTAAGAGGCTTATCCCTCAAAACTGTAAATACAAAAAAGTTGCATAAAATAGTTTCCCACCACAGGAAATTTATTTTGAGTGTCTTCATAGTTTTATTTTTGAAATACACCAAATTTTATATACTGCAGGAAAAACGAAAATAAATATTTTACTGCAAATTTGCAAAAAAGCAGCATATGCATCAAAATAAACTTTTTCCAGCAGTGCAATATGAGTCTTAAGCATCCCAGAAAAGACACAGAAAGTCATAAAGTCAAAGATAACTTTTAAAAACACCAGTATAGGCCCTGAGGCCCTGATGGTAAAAAAAACTACATTTCCGCGAAAATTACATCACCTCCCGTTATGGGCAGGTAATGGCGGACATGCAAAAGTCCGCTCTGACGTCTATTCCAACGTAGGAAGTGTTATGAACAGCTGATCAGATCGGCAAAGCGTGTTTCTGGAATATTATGTTTTTGTTGCTGCAAGTGCTTTTTATGCTGTTTTTGCAAAGCTATATGTGGAAGGAAACTGTGACCTAGGACAAGCTGATGGCATAAGATATAAGTACAACTCCTCCGGTTTCATATGCAAGAAAAATTATTGCGCTAGCTTACGTGGCTGCAGAGCTACCGGGATTTAAAAATAGTTACGCAAAACAGAGCATGCTCGCTCCGACCGGCTCTAAAGGGTTAAGTGCTTTCTAGCTAACATTCATACTCTGATTAATGCATTGTGACGCAACTTGGGGTTAGTATTTACCAGACAAAAAAACAGTCAGGGATTAAACCACCAACATTCCAATTAGTGGATGACCTGCTCTGCCATCTGAGCTACAGCCACCCCTGTCCTAATGGTCTGAGTGCATGTGATATACACTGTGAAAACCCAGACAGAGCATACTGCATCCTGGCAGTGAGCTACCTCCTGGTCCACCAGTGGGAAGTGACTGTAGCTCCATAAACTGAGATAAATTGAAGTCAGATAGAGTCTTTGACAGAATGCAGGGTTAGAATGGGGGTCCCTCTGCTCTTGAAGGGGCTCTTTGGAACTGAGAACTCTGTCCCACCTGAGTGGAACATTGTTTTTCTGCAGGGAGAAGAACAGATGGCAGTGTGTCAACTCCCTGGATGAAAAAAGGCTGACCTCTGCCCTTCCAAAGTGACTACCTGAGGACAGAGTCTCCACTCTCGAGGACTCAGGCCCCCTCTCAACATGTCTGCCACCACATGCAAGGGCCCTGGCACATGAACTGCTCTGAGTGAGTGGAAGAAGGGGTGAGTCAACTGCCACAACCCAGTTGCCACCTTGCAGAAGAAGGGAGATCCTACACCCCCCCCCCCCTGGACCTGACCCTTCTTGAGCCCCTAGTGCATCTGGACAGGCTACTTTACATCTCCTCTGTCAAGTCTTCCAAGTCTGCTGCAATAGTTGGCCTCCTACTGGGCCAACATATCTGAAGGGTTAACTGGCAGTTCAGCATTAGTTAGAAAGCCATCTATAACCTTGCAGTTCCTGCTGCCGCGGGTGGCTTTGCTGAGACAGGCTGAGAAATGTTCTTGGTCGTGCATGTTAGCAAACCTCTCCTACATAGAGAGGACCATCTGTGCAAAACAGTGGGTGATTCATATTGTCTTCACACCAGGTATTTTAAGTCAGGCAGAGGCTGCAACTCCATCTGCAAGGGTCGACACTGTGTGGGTTCCTCAAACTCAGATGCGAATGCCACAGGGTTCTCAGGTTAAAATCCAGGGCCCTGGTTGCCCTACCATTAACCTCAGAGACAACTGCGAGGTGAGCGTGTGAGCATATATATATATCTGCAAGCAATGCACTGGCTAGGGATCACAACCAGAATCAGAACAGAAAACAAAATGAAATAGTAATCCTGGATGCAGATTCATTAAGTATTGTGATGAATCTAAATACAGATGTGGAGTTGAAGCACTGGTCCTGTGATGCAGTCAAAACAACATGGACCTGAATACTCTCAAAAGCCCAGATAGGTTTGCAGAAAACATCATTAGTGCCGACTTGCTCTCGATTCAGGATTTGTAGAAATCTGAAGTCAGGAAACGACAAGACAACAGTGCAGACCCATCACACCCTGGTCACAGACTGTTCCAATTTTTCTCCTATGCTAGGTGCTGTTGAAGCACTGTATGCCAATACAGACAGACAAGCAGATATCTGTTCTGTTCTTTCTACAGGCCATACTCACATAATATCTGTGCTGAAATAACATCCATGATGCTAACCAAAGCAGGTTGAGCTTGGGAGCTTGAGAGTCCTACGCAGTATTGCTGCTGTTCCTAGGACTGCGCTGTTCTGGACAGAGATCTTGGATGTGGTTCATCTATCACTATGGCTGTCTTCCTCTGCTTGTCCACCACTACTATGTCCGGTTGGTTAGCCACCAACAGGTTGTCTGTCTGTATCTGTGAGGAAAACGTTTAAGAGCCTGAATGCTCGTAAAGCTCCCGGCCCAGACGGTGTGTCTCCTGCCACTCTCAGACACTGTGCAAACGAGCTGCCCCCAGTGTTTTCTGGCATTTTCAAATCCTCACTGCAGACATGTCATGTGCCTGCCTGCTTCAAGTCCTCCACCATAGTCCCTGTCCCCAAGAAGCCAAGGATCACTGGTCTAAATGACTACAGACCTGTGGCTCCGGTCATAAAGTCTTTTGAGCGCCTGGTTCTCTCCTATCTCAAGACACTCAAGGCCCCCCTCCTGGACCCTCTGCAGTTTGCATACAGAGCAAACAGGTCTGCAGATAATGCTATCAACATGGCTCTACATTTCATCCTGCAGCATCTGGACTCCCCGGGAACCTACGCCAGGATCCTGTTTGTGGACTTCAGCTCTGCCTTCAACACCATCATTCCAGACCATCTCCGAGGGAATATGCCTGATCCCATCTGCCGGTGGATCACTGACTTCCTGACAGACAGGAAGCAACATGTGAGGCTGGGGAAGAATGTCCCGGATTCTCAGCACCGGCTCCCCTCAGAGCTGTGTTCTTTCTCCTCTGCTCTTCTCCCTGTAGACCAACTAGTGCACCTCCAACCACCAGCCTGTCAAGATAATTAAGTTTGCAGATGACACCACAGTTATCAGACTCATCTCGGACGGGGATGAGTCTGCCTACAGGATGGAGGCTGAACTCGGGTGTCCTGGTGAGGCCGCAACAACCTGGTGCTGAATGCCGAGAAGACAGTGGAGATTATTGTGGACTTCAGGAAGCAAACATCCCGACTCCTCCCCATCATCCTGACTGACACCCTCATCACCACTATGGACACATTCTGCTTTGTGGTTACCATCATCACCCAGGACCTCAAGTGGGAGCCCACCATTCCCTCCGTCATAAAGAAGGCCCAGCAGAGGATGTATGTCCTGAGGCTGTCAGGGTCCTGGGTATCCTGACCCAGCATGTTTAGTTCTTTGTGATTTTTGTATTATTGTACTTGTGTGAGTTATTCTATGGTTTCTAGTTTCGATCCCTTGCCCTTCATGTTTCTCTGTGTCCCCTCTGTTCTGTGTAAGTCTGTGTCTGCATGTTTGAGTTTCCCTCTGTGTCTTTCGGTTCTTAGAGTCCTCTGCCTTATGGTTTATGTCTCTGTGTTTCTTAGTTGCTGTCTCCACCGTGTCAAGTTCGCGTCTCTGTGTGATACTTCCGTTTTACTTTGATGGTCCATGTCTCATGTGAATGCGTCCTGCTTTGCTTGTCTCGTCAGTACTGATTTCTCCCAGCTGTGCCCTCCTTCTGTGTCTCATTCCCCTCGTTACTTCCCAGTGTATTTAAACCCTGCGTACCCTGAGTTCTTTGTGTTTAAACCTCGTGCCTGAGTGCCTGCATTTTGGGTCCAACTCCTGCCAGCCATACGAACAGTCTCTTCCCCTCTGCTGTTGGACTCATGAAGAATAACCATAAGACTGTTCCCACCACTTGCTCAAACACATGACCCTGTATTGTGTTCTCTGTACCTGTTCCATTTGTGCACTGATCATCACCTGCATTCATGTATATATCAACCTGCTTAGCACTTTTTATTTTTATTTAAATGTTTCTCTTATCATATGTCTCGCACAAAGTACCGCAGCAATTTCCTAAAGTTGTAAACCTGCTCAGATCTACTCACTCAGTTCAATTCACTTCAACTCAATTCAGTTTTATTCATAGAGCATGAAATCACAACAGTCAGCTCGAAGTGCCTTATATAGTAAGGTAGACGCTACAATAATACATACAGAGAAAAACCCAATAATCATAAGACCTCCAATGAACATCTGCTTAGGCTTGTGTATTATATATATA